GTGTGTATGTGTTCGTTGAAATCAACTTTGTGATCATTGTGATTTCATGTGCTTTGAAGTTGAAATTCGAATTGCATGATTGTTCTGATTCTTGATTAGATTGATGTTCCACATGTTCTATTTATTTTACTTCAAGAGCTTGTACTTCAGTACTTTCAAGCACAACCCTACCAATGAAGGGAAAGAAGCAGCAGAGACACCTACTGAGTCAAATGACTACCACTGTCAGTTATCAAACAACACAATTTTTGTCAAATTGAAAAATCTCACCTGCTAGTGTTGCTCACTAGCCACTACTGACTAGAGTTGTTCGTCCACGAAATTTGCAATATACCACTACGGTATCAGCCAGAGTACGTAAGTTGGCGTAGAACAACAGCTATGCAAAGCCATGTTCATCTCCGCTTCACGTTGGAAGGCAGTATAAGCACCCTTCATACCTCGACATTGCCTTGGAGTGGAAGCAAATCCACCATGAGTTTTCCAATTCGCTACAATCGATCTGGGGGTGATGATTAGGCATGGGCGGGTAATGCTAGTTATTTGCTGCGATAATGCTAAAGGCAATGCTCATAATATGAGGATACACAAGAGAGAGATTGGAAGCTTTGTTACAAATATGAGGATATAATGCCACTTATAATGCTCACACTACTCCATAATGCCAGTTTAAAAGTTGGAAAAGTCGATTTAAGAAGGCCGTCTTGGATCAAGGCCAAAGCGTAGAAGAAAAAAACTTAAACAGCAGTGAGCATGTTGTCTGAAACAATCCACTGAGAAGGTTGATTTGCAACGTCAAGTCTCCGGACGAAGCCGGACCGGTTTAGATGCATGATTTTCGGAACTGGACCTAGCCAGCTTCATGCGTGACACCGTTGTCGACCGGCAATTATGCTTGTAATGCCAATTTTGCATGCGAAATGGTGTTATAATGCCAGCATTATGCCACCTGGAAAAAGGGACTATAATGCCAGCCATAATGCTAGCATTACCCGCCCATGCCTAGTGATGATCGTGTCTTCTTCATCACCACTGCAGCCTGGACAGCCTTCGGGAAGACATGTGTCACTCTCCTGCTCAACAGACTCCTACATCTAGATTTGGTTACCATCAGGGAACGAAATAGAGCTGCAAAACACCAAAGCAATTGTTTTCTTCCATTCAATTACAGTAAAACCTGTAACTAACGACCACCCCTTGGTGCCCGGAAAAGTGGTCTTTAGTGGCAGGTGGTCTTTAGTTAGAGGTTTGCACCGCGTGACCATAATTATATGGATCCCATTATATGATATGTATGTCAAAGTGCAGATAATACAATCCCCCACCACTTGCGCACTGACATTCTTCTTTCAGATCATACAACACTTGGAGAGCTAGAAAATCTAGTTTTATTGCAGACATTAAATTCAGCTCCTACTTCTGAAGCCAGGAGTCAAGAGTTCCCTGTTGAAGCTTCTCTTTGCGCTGGGCTTCAAGTTTGTTCATGAAGGCACCAAGTTTCTCTAGATTATTGCTATGGTAGACAAACCACGCTGCAACGTAAACTGTTGCAATGTTGAGATGCAGGACAGTGCTTCTTTGCCGGATACTTCTCTGACTTCTGTGGACTCAGTGTGACCTGGTGACTGAGCTGTGTGATTGCACTTCGACAGAGAGCCGCTCAGTCTTAGTTTCTCCTTCGAGTAGTAACATCGATCAAAGAGCGCTTTGGATGCGCTCTCCAAGACGCTTCCTATCATGTTTGTTCTTGACAGCACTTGAAATTATGACAGGTGTAGTGCAGTCCACACTGATTCCACAGTCAGAATGAGACTGCGTTCATTTGTCCAGCTGTAGTATCGAAACAGTCCTTTCAGGACCATGGAAAATCATCAACATTTCGAGAAGGAGCTTTGAGCAATGTTTGATTTCCTACATCGCGGTCGCTAGTTACGGGTCAAAATTCGACATTGGGACAAGAAAAGGCGGTCGCTGGTCGCGTTCAGCAGGTAGTCGCTAGTCACAGTGCATTTTGTGAGACCGTCCGTGCCTGACGAAGTGGTCGGTAGTACCAGGCCGGTCGCTAGTCACGGTGGTCGTTAGTTACAGGTTTTACTGTACACTGCTGAGCATACACAGCGTGGTGACAGCTAAGCAGTACGCACGTCATCAAGCCCTATACCCAAATATGGAAGGTGTTATTTATGAAATTTGACACGGTTCCTTTTCTCTGATCGGCTCGAGACATAGCTCATCAGAATCAGTGCCCAATTCTCCTTCGGATAAGCCATGCTTATTTTTGGCGGAGCAGGAACAGGTACTGTTCAAAAGAAGACTGGATGCATTGTTTCGGAAAGTATTTCTACGAGATTGGGTTGTGATGTCGATAGGGAGTGAGTTGTAGAGGGTGAGGGCACTGTTGATGGGGCAATCTCGGTGCCTGTTTGTGTGTGCGTGTCCGATGGAGTACAATGTAGGTCCTTGTCTGTCGAAGGGTGTATGGTTGGTGTTGACGTTCTTGTGCAAGATGTGGTTGTTGCAGGGGTGGTGGGGAGGTTTGGTGGTGGATGTCCCATGCCAGTAGGACTTGTTTAGCAAGGAGTCGTGAGCTAAGGGTGGGACGCTTTGCGTGATGGAGGAGGGAACTGTGGTGAACTGGTGCAAAGAGGGGAATCCGAAGGCAGATATGCGTATAGCACGGCGCTGAATTCTCTCCAGTGTGTCCCGCTGTTGCTGTGTGATGTTGGAGAGGGCAAGGCTGCCATATTCGAGAACGGGTCGGATGTAGGTCGTGTATATTCCGCCACCTTGCAGCTGATTTCCCCGTTTCTCTCCTCATCAATCCCTACTAAGTCTTGTCTTTGTTCATACTAGTAGTAGTACTGTTCTTTCAATCAAATGAACCCCTCGATAGGCACATAATGCCTTTGGGTCATTAATTTCATAATAATATTAACAATAGGCTGGAAGCGTTCATTGTGCCACGTGTCTTGTGGAGTTGGTGTAGTAGTTTTTTGGCTTTGTTGGTGGTTTCTATGATGTGTTGGGTCCATCGCATATCGTCTTGGAGTGTAACACCAAGGTGCCTATGTTGGTGGACCTGCTGCAGCCGAGTCGAGTGGAGCATGATGTGGATGGTGTGTTGGGGTTGGAAGGAAAGGACGACTAGCCTTCGCATCCGCAGGCCACCACTATGCCTCTTGACCTAAGTCCTTAGTGGCGAATGCAAACCTCATACTAGTCGTGTTGACACCCACTTCACATCTAATTGGCCCGTATGTGGTGTTCCCAGTGAGTCAACTTCGCTAATAACGACTGCTGATATAACGACAATTCGCGAATAACGACAGAATTTTCATGCCCAGAGCAAAGTCCCATTCAACTGTAACACATTATAATGAGACTTCGGGTATAACGACACTTCGCGAATAAGGACACTTTTCTGATGCCCCGCCTGGTGTCGTTATAAGCGAAGTTGACTGTAGTTCCCACTGTGCTGTGTGCGCACAGGGAGTCGTACCCAAACTAAACACGTGACTACTGAGTACTGTACATCTACTGTACAAGGGAAGGTGACACTGCACAGAAATCCGTGTCTCAGGGGTTGCCTCGCACACGTTGCCACCATCTGTAACACCATTGCTATACAAACAGTATGTTCGGCCTGCGTTAGAATACCGGTATGCAATTCTGGTCTGGCACTGCCGCATGACTGCATAGCAACTACTTTCAGCATTGGATGTTCTGCAGGCTAAAGTACAAGTATGCCGCGCCTTTTTGCGGAAGAAAGCGGTTCAGTTTGACCAAGAGTACATAACCCCTGGGGGTTATGTACATGTACTCTTGGTTTGACACACACGAAACGAAGGAAGTTAATTCTTCCTGATGACGTCAAAACTAGTAATACACATAATGATGGGACTTGGTGGGACTTTTCGGTACTAGCAGTGGATTCCTCGCTGGTAGGGTGTCCGGTGCACTCATTACTGGCTGATGTTTACCTCCCCCCCACCCCCCCCCCCCCAGGCCACCCTTTTGCGAAGGAAACTACCCAAATAGGCACGGATCCATACAGAATCTTGATGATCCCAACTAGCACACCCTATGGTTTCAGTGTAATTTCTTACGTAGGTGCTGACCGGTGGAATGCACTGCCACCTGCTCACCACCTGCTGAATTTAGATCATCCATCAAGACGTTCTTAGGGTTCCCTAGCCCTGTAAGAAGGCGATGACGCCTGTTGGGAATTCCCTAGTAAAATAAGAATAAAAAATAAAATAAAATCCCAAAGATCAAAGATTTAGCTGCACGGTGTCATGACTATGGCTGGCAAGTCTGTGAGGTAACACTTTATTTCTATTTTATATGAAAGTGCACATGCCTACACTTTCAAGCCCTATTCCCGACCCCTGCTGAATATAATTTTGAAGTAATTATACTAGTATTAAAGTGAGAGCCATTGTCCCTTCAGGGCAGGATACAAGTACCAGCAAAGAAACTGCACCAAAGCAGACATCAAACCCTGCTGAGAGTAGCAGCCCAGCATGGACCGCCGCATGCCACACGCGTGCGTGTGTGTGTGTGTGGATGTGAGTGTGTGTGTGCGTGGGTGCGTGTTCGTGGTGTTACACTGCCTGCATTCGCATGCATAGTGCGACATATCTTGCAGGAACAATGCATGGATGTACATCTACATCTACAAGCACTCGCAGACTCCGTTGCATCCGGCATTTACACTTTGCATGGATATGGTGTGGGAATCCATGCTGAATCGCCATGCTTACAGGTCCCTCACACTAGACAGTATTGGCGGGTAGCAAAGAACGCAGTGTTGTAGAACAAGACTTACAGGCTAGGATTCCACCAAGCACAGCATGCCAATGTATACCCGGCGACTCAACTGTGCAGCATAGACTGTGGAACATGAAAACGAGAACGGCCTGGGCTAGGATGCTGACCTCCTCCCCCTCCCCCCCCCCCCCCCAGTTCTTCCACACCTGACAGTATTATAGACACACGCATAATAGCTGCATTGAACTTGCAAGGAGACGTAAGAAAAGAAGAAGAAAGAAAGAAAAAACATAGCATAATTCTCTATTGGAAATAGAATTCGTGCTGCACGGTTAATTAACTTAAAGCAGGAAAATAAACATGACTGTACACTTGTCGGTCAAATAATAATAATAATATGCAAATCGCTATAATCAAATCTCGTAATTCCTTATCTGCTCAGAGTGCTAGATGCCTATATATGGTGGCAGAGCGTGTTCTTTAGTACAAGAGAAAAAAGACAGCCTGACGAACGTTGCTGCTACAAAACGTTTCATGCTAAAAATCAACCACCAGGCCGGCAGCCACCCTCACTACCTCATGGTGGCTTGTATGAACTTTTACTTGACAGAAACAAGCCGCAACATTCGTCACTTTGTCCTTATTCATATCGAGTAACTATAATAATAGAATTCTGTCTTCACAAGATGATTGGAACCAGTAAGAAATGAACAAAAACTACAGCTAACAATAATAAAATACTTGTATAGATCATCCTCAAACACGTGAAGCGCAGGAACTGAAGAGCCACAGGCACTAGCCCAAAGAACACGCACCTCCGGTCACCGTGAGCCGCATGTGATTTGATATGTGTGTGCGCGTGTGGGTGTGTGTGGAGGGAAAAAATGGAAAAAAATGAAAAAATAGGGATTCACTGGCCAGAAAAAGCCAGTTCAATCAGCTGTGTGGTGGATATCAGGCTAAAATTAGTGGCGGTCAATTCATCAGCCTTACAAGCTGTTGAATGGTAAGTGAGCGAGGTGTGAGGTGTGGAGGGGGGGGGGGGGGGGTAGACATACCCATACACATGACGTATATATATACTATATAGATAATACAAAACAATACTTTGCACCGGCGAATTGGCAGGCATGCATTGCTGTTCGTTTGCTATTCAATCTTCCCACGCTCGTAATACCGTGCGTATCTTAGAAGACACTGCTTCTGAAGATTCGCTGACCGCAATTACGCAAGATCAGTACGAACAAAAACAGATAAATATAATCCCTGGGAATAATTTGATGCACACGGAAAGCTAGAACAAGAGGCAAATATTGCCGTCTTGGGAAGACCGCGCGAAAAAGAGTGCCAAAAGGAGACCAAATATCCGCCCAAGACACTGGGCGCGCTCTGCCACACTGACACAAGCGTGCACGCACACATACACACACACACACACAAGCACAGACACGACTTACTCAAGCAGTGCGACTAAGACACAGCGTGTGGCGAATCAATGCGATCCGCCTAAAACCTGGCTGGCTCCGATGGTCGTCGTAGAGACTCGCCGGAGACTTGGGCCCTCAGGTCGGGGCTGGGACCGGGATCACTTCGCGACGCATTGCCAAACCACTTTGAAAGGATTTGCTTGCAAGGCGAAGCAGCCACCTCCAGCCGCTGTTTGCTGTAGAAGTGTGCGTTGTGACTGCCTTGCTTGCGTCGACGCTGGTTGGAGCGTGTTGTCCCTTGGCCGTTGCTTCCTGACATGTTGACTGCATCGCTAGATGAGGAATCTGCAGGTAGGACACAGTAATCAAAGAGCGCAGCCCAACAATGAAAAATGTCAATTGTATTGGGCAGGAAAGGGGAAAGGCTTGGGAATGGAAATTGGGACCTTACTTGAAGGATGTATATCAGGACCTGCACTCGCAAGAGTGAACTATGCGTCTGCTCTATTGCTGGGTCAAGAGCTTGTGGCATGGAGGGGGTAGTGCATGATGCCAGCCATCAAGCATCCCACTTCTCTCTCTCTCTCTCTCTCTCTCTCTCTCTCTCTCTCTCTCTCTCTCTCTCTCTCTCTCTCTCTCTCCTCCCTCCCTCCCGTCTGCTCTATTGCAGGGTCAAGAGCTTGCGGCATGGAGGGGGTAGTGCATGATGCCAGCCATCAAGCATCCCACTTCTCTCTCTCTCTCTCTCTCTCTCTCTCTCTCTCTCTCTCTCTCTCTCTCTCTCTCTCTCTCTCTCTCTCTCTCTCTCCCTCCCTCCCTTCCTCCCCCTTTCATGCCAGAGAGACATGCAAAGCCATGCAATTCACAGCAAGTGCACTACATCACGACAAGCGCAGCATGCACACCTACTGCCCTACATGCAAAACAGTCAAAATTGTCATATGTAGCAGGATCAAACCCACAACAACACATTCAAACTGTACATCGAACTGCATGACTGTATAAAAAATAAAAATAAATTTCACGGTTCGCGCGAGACTCGGCCAAAGGCCCAGTTTTCCGCATCCGCAGGAACGCCACCACCCTCTTGGATCAAGGCGCAGATGCAGCTCCTAAGGCTAAGCGGTGGGAGGTGAGTAGATTACGACTGTATAAGCCAGCTAATAATACCGTGGCACCGTACCGTCGTACATGACTAACGGGTACTCGTTTGCTAACGGATCAGCAGATAAATAGACGGGTACCCGGATCACCCCTTTCACCCCTACTCTCTCACTCACCTCAGACCTCAGACATGCCCATCGCGGGAGCGATGATAGCGAACAGCTATGTTTTAGACATACAGTAAAACCTGTAACTAACGACCACCCCTTGGTGCCCGGAAAAGTGGTCTTTAGTGGCAGGTGGTCTTTAGTTAGAGGTTTGCACCGCGTGACCATAATTATATGGATCCCATTATATGATATGTATGTCAAAGTGCAGATAATACAATCCCCCACCACTTGCGCACTGACATTCTTCTTTCAGATCATACAACACTTGGAGAGCTAGAAAATCTAGTTTTATTGCAGACATTAAATTCAGCTCCTACTTCTGAAGCCAGGAGTCAAGAGTTCCCTGTTGAAGCTTCTCTTTGCGCTGGGCTTCAAGTTTGTTCATGAAGGCACCAAGTTTCTCTAGATTATTGCTATGGTAGACAAACCACGCTGCAACGTAAACTGTTGCAATGTTGAGATGCAGGACAGTGCTTCTTTGCCGGATACTTCTCTGACTTCTGTGGACTCAGTGTGACCTGGTGACTGAGCTGTGTGATTGCACTTCGACAGAGAGCCGCTCAGTCTTAGTTTCTCCTTCGAGTAGTAACATCGATCAAAGAGCGCTTTGGATGTGCTCTCCAAGACGCTTCCTATCATGTTTGTTCTTGACAGCACTTGAAATTATGACAGGTGTAGTGCAGTCCACACTGATTCCACAGTCAGAATGAGACTGCGTTCATTTGTCCAGCTGTAGTATCGAAACAGTCCTTTCAGGACCATGGAAAATCATCAACATTTCGAGAAGGAGCTTTGAGCAATGTTTGATTTCCTACATCGCGGTCGCTAGTTACGGGTCAAAATTCGACATTGGGACAAGAAAAGGCGGTCGCTGGTCGCGTTCAGCAGGTAGTCGCTAGTCACAGTGCATTTTAAATGTGAGACCGTCCGTGCCTGACGAAGTGGTCGGTAGTACCAGGCCGGTCGCTAGTCACGGTGGTCGTTAGTTACAGGTTTTACTGTAGCAACTTGTGCTGGGATTACACCATCCAACAGCTTGCAAGGCTGATGAATTGACCGCCACTATTTTTAGCCTGGTATCCACCACACAGCTGTTTGAAGTGACTTTTTCTGGCCAGTGAATCCCTATTTTTCCTTTTTCCTTTTTTTTCTTTTCTTTTTCTTTTTCTACACACACACCACACCACATACTCCGGCATACACTGGCTGTTGGTAACCACCCAGGAGAATGAAAGAAAAGTCAGGAAGAGTCTGAGAAAGAGAAGAAAGACGTGTGTGACCATAATCGTCGGGAATCGAACCCGCAACCTATCGATTGGAAATCGCTGCACATACCACTGCACCATATGGGACACACACACACACACACACACACACACACACACGCGCGCATGGACGCACACACGCATGCACACACGCCCCCCCCCCCCCCCCGCACACCCATACCCACACACACGCACGTACGCACACGTACACAGACAGACACTTGCACACACACATAGACACACACACACAGACACACCTATGCACACACGCGGACACACGCAGAGCATTTGACAAGCGCTTACTGTGTTCGGTGTCCTGCGAGTCTTCTTCAGACTGTAGGTCGGCATCACCTCGTGAGGATTGTGATGATCTGGCGGTGACCTCTGACGACGAAGTCGAGCCTACAGACGTGCGAGAGAAGGACATCTTGCCTGGTTTTCCGGGGCGAGGGCCATCCTTTTCGGTGATGCCTTGCTTCAACGCTTGGCCTGCCGCATCCTCGTCCATTGTCTCGTGGCCTGTTAAGACGGGGGACTGTGTTGTTTCCGGTGTAATCTTCTCCATGCGCTCGGCTAGGCTTCGACGCAGTGTGGTGTCATCGCCAAGACGATGTAAAGCAAGCTCCGGAGCGTTACTCGGCTTACTCCGCAGCGGCGTGCTGGAAAAGCGACGACTGACCGACACCGGGGCTTGCCAGTCGAGCATTCGCTCAATGTCGGTCACCCCCACGCTGGCAGAGTACTTGCGACTCGTGTACGACGGCAGAACTAGGAGACCGCTGGGACCGGATATGTACGAGGTGGCCTGCACCTCGCCGCCTGGGTGATGGGCCACCGAGACGGAGCGTTGGTGAGACGCATGCCGCTTAGCAGCGCTGGCCGCCTGCAGAATGCTGTCCTTGCGTCGGTGAGCAAGATGCGCTACGCTGTGACGACTCGATGGCCTCTGGCGTCTGGTGGCCGGTGGCTGGGCTGGGGATACATTCCCAGCTACACCGGCCACACTAGCACCAGTAGCAGCAGGACCGACACTGGTAGCACTGCCGGTCTTCCGGGCACGACGGCCGAACGAGGACTTCTTTCGGCCTGGCTCGTCGTCAGCCGGTGGGGGCACCACCACCGTGTTGTGTGTAGATGCTCCGCTGCTGCTGCTGCTCAGTGTGTGATTGATGGAAGCCTGTACCACGGGTGCCTGTACAGTTGTGGGTGCTTGGGCTGCAGCTGTTACCGTTGCTAACGGTGATGTGCCGGTCACGCTGGCTTGTGTCGGCGGTGTAGGTGCCTGCACCGTACTGAAACCTTCCTTAACCGGTGACTTCTGCCAGAAGTCTTCCTTGACGCGCTGCCAGTTGTCATAGTTCTCCATGACACGGTCGAGCACCTCCTGGGTTTCCGGGAAGAGGGCCGCCAGCGATCTGCAATCAGTCGCAAACAACACACACGGGCATGCACGTACACACACGGACACACACACACACACACACAAACACACACACACACACACACACACACACAAACACACGCATACACAGCCACACAGCGGAACGCCATCCTTGTCCTCGCGGCCGGATTGGAGATTTTCTGCATCATCTGCGGATTTCCTGCTGACAGTGCTGTTATGCTGCAGCGGTGCTAAACACAGCGGGCTGGCGCTGAGGCAGAAATTTGCGGATTTACAGCCTCGCACGCGCACTGGGCTCACTAACTAATCTCTGTCAGACCAGGCAGATAGGGTGGTAGATGGAAACTCTTAGTAAAAACACAAACAAATCTGACAGTATCCTACTAACTTCTAACTTACTGTACAGGCAGACAATTTCGTCGGTGAATAATTTCGTCCAACTCCAAAGAAAGGGAGTTCGTCCGGCTGTAAATTCCGTCCATGGATCATTAAAGTGTATTGAAAGGCTGGACAAATCGACATTCGTCCGGCATTTAATTTAGTCCAAAAGCTCTTTGGACGAAAAAGACGAAATTAAATTCCAGACGAATATTTCTGCTTATACAGTACCTCATTTTCCAATAGTAAAGATACTGTAATACCATACATATACCAAGTTACACACACTCACGAGCACACATGGACACGTACACACACATGCAGTGCACACACCATTTGACCATTGGACGCCAATCGCCGGAGGCGATGATAGCGATGCTACGGCAGAAGGCATAGCAACTTGTGCTGGGATTGCACCACTCAACAGCTTGCAAGGCTGAAGAATTGACCGCTAGTATTCAGCCTGGTCTACACCACACAGCTATGAAGTGGCTTTTTCTGGCCAGTGAATCCCTACTTTTTTGGTCTTTTTCATTTTTTTCCAGACACACATCACAACACACACTCCGGCATGCCCTGGCTGTTGGTAACCACCCAGGGGAATGAAAGAAAAGAAAGACGTGTGTTACCATAATCGTCGGGAATCGAACGCGCAACCTCTCGATTGGAAATCGCTGCACATACCACTTCACCATTTGGTACACACACGGACACACACACACACGCGCGCGCATGCATGCACACACACACACACACACACACACACACACGCGCGCGCACACACAAACACACACACACACACACACACACACACACACATCAACCAACCAATAGCCGTACTTACTCAAACACAGGCTGGGCAATGAAGCTGATGAAGCCAATTTGCTCCTCTGGAATGCAAGCAAGATCACGGTTCATCATCTTGCCAGGCTGTGAAGCCAGGGCACGCTCCTAACACAGTACACAACCAAATATGGCATAGAATGTTCTCTTATAGAATTCAGTCCCTACCAATTCGGAACACTGTGAACAGTAGCAACCAAGTGCATTTTTTTCCACTAGCGGCAAATGAACGTGGACATCGCTCCAGAAGTAGCAGTGCAACTCCAAACCAAGCCGTAAAGCATCGCTCATCAGACATTTTTCACTTGCCTATTGTCAAGACTCAGCAGCTCCCAAATTGCTTGATAACGATGCCGAAAAACCATGTCCACCCTTTTCACGTATGATGTCATGCAGAGGATTCGCTGCAGCAGGGAGACCCCTCTCGTGTGCTTAAGATATCACAGAAACCGTCCAGTGCCACACCTCGACAACAACTGCAGACCATCTGGTAAAAGGAGAGCGATCGCTCTCGCGCGCCTTCGCTCTCCATATTTTCTTTTAGGCGCACTTTTCGTCGCGCGCCTTGAGAATTTCGAGCGCATCCGCATCACTATGAAGTTCTGAAACACTCAAATATTTCGTAACTTGGCTTTCCCTGAACGGAATCGAGTAATCGAAAGGTCTGTTCGCATTAGAAAGTTCTCAGCTGTCGGCTCCAAGAAATAGGAAATCGATCCGAGGTCCAATAGTGGAGTCACGGCACTTGCAAGGTATTTCACGTACCGTTGTAAATTTTCACTCCCGCACTTGGGTGGCAATCATATTGCCGGTATTTTGACATAAAGGATTTCCGTCTGTTGCGTTACAGTCCGGGCATGCATAGACCTGTGTGACGCCAGGCACAGGTCTTTAGTGGTCAGCTACAGAACAAAGGAGCGCTCTACGATGAATACTACAAAAATACCATGGATCTTAGCGAATTGTCTCAATTTCCCATTGCGTGTGTCATTGTCCCTGATGAAGGGAAACTAAAGTTGTGGTCCGAACAGGTTTCATTTGTAGTGCGTACGGCGATTTTCCAGAACGAATGTGGCATTTATTGGGTATTGAATCCGATTGGGCCGGCAAGATGTTGAAAAACCCCCGTATTGTGCTCGCCTTGGATAGATACGGCGAGCGACTTTTTTTGGAGGGGGGGGGGTGGTGGGGACTGCTCTCCCACCACCCTTCTTGAGAGGATAGCGAGAGTGATTGTTCACTCTCCTGGATTTTTCTTACACGAAGGTCTGCAACTGCAATCAAGTTGACTGCGCTTTGCCCAAATTTCCTTTTAGAGAGTTTGGACTGGTCGTTTCAACGGATCCCCGAGACTCTCTGCTACCTGATAGGAGTGTTGATCGCTGAGTTCGGTGAAGGATTGATACAGTTACGGCTGATTCAGCACTCACATGTGTATGCATGTTTGCATCTTGCCCTTAAAACATACCGCATTATCCGGAGTATAAGCCGCACTGGAGTACAACCCTTATCCCCATTTGTTTTACCACAAATTACCGACATCTACCCTAGTTATCACCGTTAATTTGATCATCAGAGTATAAGGCGCACCTCCTTTCATTGGGCCACTTTTGAGTGTTCAAATTGAGCCTTATATACTCTGGAAAATACATTATTTTAGTCTTTGAGATATCCATCCCATTCAAGGTCAATCACTGTACAGCAGCTGAGGATTATCAAGAAGATCCCTTACCATTTCACCTTGGTTGAAGAACTCGGCGTAAAGTCGTTCCTAGCGGCATAGCCACGCGCACACACGCACACACACACACACACACACATGCACAAACGCACACACACGCACACACACACACACACACACACACACACACACACACACACAGCCAGACAGACATCATTCCTCGTGCTTCAAATGCATTCATTCAGTTCTCGATGAGGTCAGCTGTACAAGGGTCTACATTTGTGCGGTGACGCTAGATACAAGCATGGCTTTTCTGCGGCCTGTCTGTCTGTCTGTGTCTCTGTTTGTCCGTCCGTCCGTCCATCTGTCTCTGTCTGTGTGTCTCTGTCTGGCTGTCTGTCTGCATATCTGCCTTTCTCTTTCGCGCTTCTCTCTTTTAAAATTTCAAACTTTCCTCTCTCTGA